CATAGAACTTCTCACAAAGAGGCACAAAATCTCTTGTATTAAGGGGAATGAATGCTGTTGTTGTTAGCATGGCAAAGTGTGGAGCCTCTGTGCTGACTTTAGTAATGTTTCATTCCACAACTTGTCCAACTAAGACTACATTTGCCATGAATCCTGCTGCTGATATGACAAATATAAACAAATGAATCTTTAGGGCAACAGATCTTAGGCCTGGAACTAATGCAACTCAATTGCCCAACCAATAGTCTCAACCCTAAAGATAAGTGCTTCAAAAATCTAAAGCATCTAACCGCTAGTACAGTATTAGACTGAGTGGGAGTCCAGTGCACCTATCTGCCATCCTGACTTTATCCTGCACCAACGTCCTGCATCAGGACAGGTTCAGAAGTTCTTAAAAAAAATCAGACCCATGCAGGACTCTGCACTGCACTACATGAGGGTAATACTAAACTGCATTAGCACTGTACATTGACACTTAGGCCCTGTCAATATGTATCCAGATATTTTTGTGAACAGCTAATTTTTTCCTCCGTTTTAAAATAAATTTCTACTGACACAACCTAGTTATACAAAATATCTCTGTCTACACCAGAACGCTAAAACGGCCCCAAAAGCTTACGTGAGCAGTGTTCACACAAACAGCGTTGTTGCTGCTGTACTGCTTCAGAGGTGCATGCTGCTGTAACTACTGTATTTCTAAAACTTTCACAATAAAAAATGTTACTTAAAAAGTTAGTCAAAAAGTTAAAAATAGATACATAGGTTTTTCATGTCTGTCACCGATATAAACACTGAAACTGTAGCGAAAGGTGGTGCGATGTCAATATGAGTATGAAAATACTATTTTCACTGCCTTTCTATTGCTGAACACATGCAAGTGTAAGTCATCTTTAGACCAAGCAGTAAAACAAAACATTAGCAAACTGGTAGTCCGCCATTGCTGTTCTTGTTTGCAAAGGCCACACAGACAAACAGTAAATGGAGTTTTGATAAATCTTCACCTTAGAGGGTGTTTTAAAATATATCTGTTTCAGGTATATAAAACTCTATTTGCATGTGGTTGAGAGGCCCAAATGTAGAGGAAAATATCTGGATATGTTTAGACAGCGTTTTAATGTAATTTGCTAATGTCTAATATCTTTGTGTGAGTATACTAAATAGAAGCCATGGCTGCTTGTTTTTCCACAGTAAATATCATTATGTCTCTAAATGACTGTGATAATGATTTACTGATGTCAAAATGATCCACATGACAATTTTTAATCAAATTCACATCCGTTTCACTGCTTTCCAACAACCACATGATTGGCATCAGACACATGGCCTTGGGCATTGTTCTTTCTAGAAAAAAAGCCATGTAATGTGGGTAGATCACAGAGTGACAATTTGTTCTGATCTTTTCCCTTTGGCCATGAGGAGAGGGGGAGGAAAGAGAGAGGGGGGGGGGGGGAGGGGGGGGGGGGGGGGGGGGGGGGGGGGGGGGGGGGGGGGGGGGGGGGGGATGTTAGATGTTAGTATGAAACCTCTTGGCCAAATATTTGCAGTGAAAGGCCCGTCATTGTCCATTAGGGTCTCTCCCTCTTTTTCTCTCTCTCCCTCTTTCTTTCTATTTTCTGGGTGCATTAACCTCCTCTTCACAATGCGCCCAAACAAAGACATGACTGTATTTGTGTATGTGTGTGTGAGTGTGTGAGTGTGTGCTCTGGCACTGCTGTCCATCCTCCTGCATCCCTCAACAAACACTTATCCACCACACAGACACACACCTGCACATGTCAAAAAAAAAAAAACACTTGAAATGTATTAATGCAATAATCCTCCCACTTTAATATGCCACACACACACATACACACACACACAAACACACACACAATAAACATCTGTGAAAGAGCTGTGTGTAAATGTGTGTAATGTGTTCAGTATTAAAATCCTCCTACGTGGCAAACAAACAGCATGTTCAGACAGCTCTGCGTCACTACAGCCACTTAGGCCTCCTACACACACACACATACACACACACACACACACACACACACACACACATACACAGGGGGCGTACAGTATGGTTAGACTTAGGCCATGAGGTAAAGACAGGTTATACTGAAAAGGAGCAGCAGAACATTTCTTCTCTCTGAATCATTTCCAATAAATAGACCAGTCTCTTCCTTATTGATGTGACTTTTTGACCTGAGAAAAGGTTAAATGTCGGCGTAACGCCCCCACAGTGCTGCACAGCCAGCCACTGCTAAAAAGATGTTCACACAATAATGTGACACAGTTTACTGTCTACACGCCACATCATATATAAATGAATGCTGTGTGGCTTTCAGTGCCTTTTTCTAAATAATGTGTAAAGGCACAGACTTGACACTAAATTAAATAGGAAAATCTATACTAAATGCGATGTGCTGTTTGTTGTGTAAAATATAATGTAACATATTATATAACAGACAACATTCAAGGTAGATACAGAGAAAGCTGAATTCTGCAAAGTAAGACTTCAACTTGTGAGATGGTTTTGGCCTCAAGTTTTCACTGTGGAAAAAAAAAATTCACTTGCTGTGAAAGTTGATTGAGGCTAGACTAGCCAGTATTAGATCAATCAAAGAACATAGAAAGTGTTTAGATGATATGACCTCTCAGAACTCCTGAACCCAATGAACTACTTACACTAGACGTTTGAGACACTGGACAAGCATGACACCACAACCGCATGGTCAATTTTACAATATTGGTAGATTAGTTTAGGAGAAATTTGACAACATTTTCAGGACAGCTGGCAGGTCCCATGAAATGGCTAGCAGAGTGCAATTTGTTTCAGTATATTTCTGTGTTTCCTGTAAAAAGCAGGAAGCAAGGGCGGGACTTGTCACTGACAGAGACTGGTGTTTACAGTGGCCAATAGTGCTGAGTGTGGTTATGTACAAACTCTAAAATACCAATACGAATACCCAGATAGATATTGGCATGTAGGTGATCAGCACAGGGCATATGTAATTAAAAAAACACTTAAACATCTTTTTTTTTCATTCAACCAGTCAGGTACAGGAAGATTGTATGTTCATGTCTGAATGAAAAAAATTGTTGTAATTCATCTGTTAAACAGCAGTCCCAGGCCTACTAATATACATATATTTATGTTTTTTGATGACACTTGGATCAAAAGGCTAGCCAGCAAAAAATATTATCTAAATATATTATCAAAGCAATGTCAAGTATTGCTATATACCAGAGGTAGGACCAAGTCATTGTGTTGCAAGTCACAAGCAAGTCTCTAATTTTTGCAGTCAAGTGAAGACTGACAGTTCCATGTCCAGTCTAAGGTCCTAACTTTGTGTTTCTATTCATCAACAAGTCATAATGTATTAAAACAAGTGCAACTGAACTGAATCATAAGAAAGAAGAGGTGACATTGTCTTGTCCTTGTTATGTTTGTTTTCTCTGACCAAAGCATAGTTTTTGAACATGAAGGAAAGTATCTTTGGTATAATTTTTTCCAACTGGCGCTCAGTGACATAATAATTTCTTCATGGTTTGATGTTGTCGGATTGGCTCAAAGTGGTTAATCTTGGGAATTAAAAGTCGACTTGCTGGGAATAGCTTCGACGTTAGTTGAGTCAGAAAATGACAAAAAGTGAAATGATTCATGGCACACTTTTTCAATAACATACTTTTTCATCTTCAGGCATGGGGAAAGGTAAAGTCAAGTTCAAGTAAAGTCACGAGTCATTGGTGTTTAAGTCCATGTCGAGTTGCAAGTCTTCTATGATTTTGACAAGTCAAGTCTGACTCAAGTCCAAGTCATGTGACTCGAGTCCACACCTCAGCAAAATACCACACCTTACCACTAACATTAGGAGTCAACTGTCATGAGATTGCCAATACTTGGTATGAAACAATTAACTAGTATCAGTGGTGATGACACCTGGGTAACTCCAATATGGCCGACAGTGGCCACATCACATCATGTCTGTGTGATGTTTGTTGCCCAGAAACTGAAGCTAACTCTGCTGTTGATGTCACTGTAGGCGTCTAAGAATGAGGCAGATATCTAAATGCATTTCAAATGTAGAAATTAACATCATTAATAAACAGAAAGAGACAAAAATGCAGACAGATGGACAGACAGCAGCTCTAAATGTAATTGTGACCAATGAGGTAACATGCAGACAAGACATAATCGATATTTTCCCAATCAACTGTGGTAGACTGACTAATCAGTGTGTGCGTGTGTGTGTGTGTGTGTGCAGCTTAGCAGTATAGACAGGCGTAACCAAAATGCATTTCTCACTTAAAACAACAAGATAAAATTCAGATGATGTATGTAGGTGATAAAATATTGAGCATCTTTTTTCCAATGAATCATTTAAAATGATGAAGGTGTGATATAATTGGCAGCTACGGTACACATACTGCGTACTATCCACAATAATGCTGACTCGAGTATATCACATGCCGTGCAGGATAACTTGTTTAACAATGAATTGAAGTTTCACACCTACATTCACTCACACAGAGCGGGCACTACCAGGCTGAATTACACGTTTAATAGATTTTGTAGTGGTCTTTCAAGATGATATTTAGTGAGGAGATGAAAACAATCAAGGGATAAAGACTGTGAGCTGTGAGGGATTTAAACCCATCATAAAGCACAGCACACTGTATTATGTTTGATCCACATGCTGCTGTCTTTGAAACTAATTTCTCAACAAACAAGTGTCTTTGTGAGCCTTTAAGTAACCCAGTAAAAATCTGGAATATTTTCACAAAACTGTTATTTCCCATACACACTTTACACTGTAACCGCAGATTTTGACTCAGTGCTATGTAAAAAATTTGCTGACTGTGAATTTGACATCCTCGTGTTTGCTTAAAATGTGGCTAAACTCTACATCTGTGCATAAAATAAAAGTGGAAAACTGAAAGTTCTCCCCTTCACAAATACACACACACACACACACACACACACACACACACACAGAGTGTACAGACATTAGTACCTCTGTCAGTGCTGCTCTTGCATCCAGGTGTACAGCAGTGCTGGATAACTGTGTTGTATCTCCATCCCGATCAATCCTTCAGCATCCAAGAAACCAAAGAGAAAACAGCAAACACAAAGACTGAGCGTCTGTCAGCCAAATCCACCACGAAGACAAAAACACAACAGATGTAACAACTGTAAAAATGAAGGAAAACACTACACTCTGTCCATCTCTTTCACCCAATCTATTTTTCTCTCCCTCACTCTCTGTCCCTTTCTCCCTCTCTTTGCTCTCGCTGTTTCTCTGTCCGCGCACTCTCTCTCTCTCACACACACACACACACACACTGATTCTCCATCTGTCACCGCCCCCTCTCCTTCAACCCTCCCATCTCATACATTATTTATGAGTCTCAGAGACACACACACATGCCCCACTGCTGTCAAACACACTCACACGCACACACATTACAAGCTATGTCCCACACACACACATGCAATTCAAACACAGTGGCCAATGTCTGTACAATCCATAGGTGTATGAGAGATCACAGAGGCATGGTTCCTCTCTATTTCAAAGGAAAGGTGTGGATATTTGTTAGACTGAAGCAGGATGTTTTCAATGGTAAACTTAACTAAACTATGACTAAACTTCCCCTTAGTAACCCTATAACAAAAAGATCGAACCCCAAGAATGATCCAGGAACAGGTTTCCCCTGTTTCAACCAATCAGAGCTTTGTATGCAGGATTGAGAATGGGAACATCATCTTCTTACATACAGAATGTTCAGGAAGTCTTCAGACTTGTTTTCTTATATTATAGCCTTATACTTAAAGCTTTTATTTTTCACTCATCTGCCTACACTTAACACCCCATAATTACAAAGTGAAAACTAGATCTTTTTTTTTTTTTTTTTTTTTTTTTTTTTTTACAAATTTATCACACTGAAAAAAAAAACTTGAGCTCAGTTTGACATGTTATTTTGCAATGTGTCCACATGGACACATGTTCAAAAGTATGTCACTGCTAGATGCCTGGTGCTGCACAACTTGCATCATATCCTAGTAGTACAAAATGTTTAGTGAAGGTGCTGTATAATGTGTAGTATGGCAAGTATTTGAGCTTATCTTAAAATGGACCTATTTTCAGGGTCATACTTGTACTTAAGGTTTCTATTAGAACACACTGACATGCTTAAGTGTTTCCAAAAACAGTTCATTTTCCTGTCTGTGCTGGAACATCAGCACCCTGTCAGAGAAGGCTTCGTTTTAGATGAATGAATCAGTGGTAATTTCATAAATTATCATTTATCCAGTGAAGACATCAAAACATGCAGCTTTACAAAAAGAAGGAGATAATTTTGAGGGTTTTCTTTTTAATTATGTGGTGTATATTAATATATCTGTTTTTACCTTACCAAGGTTGAGTCTTGTTTTTGTAGCATACTTCCCTTGTGGATATAAATGAGCAGTCATTTGTATTGTCTTTGGTTTTCTGTATTAAAGACACAGATCTCAGTGGGTCTGTCTGGTGAAATAAAAATATGCATTCCTCCCATACTCTCCCCACATGTACATATAACCTATAAAAGCTCGAACACACACGTCAACCATGCATGACCACATTCACACGCAAAAAAACACACGCAGGTCACGGAGAAGACAGGGCCAATCATGCATGAATACAGAGCATGCATGCACACACACAAAATCTCTCTCTCTCTCTCTCTCTCTCTCTCTCTCTCTCACACACACACACACACACACACACACAAACACTAACACACTTAGTTGTCCATGCTAGTAGTGCAGGCAAGGAAGCCCCCCGCAGCTGGAGGCTATCTGAGTTTTCTCATGGACGAGACATGGCTGGAAGTCAGAGAAAAGTGTGTGTGTGTGTGTGTGTGTGTGTGTGTGTGTGTGTTTGTGTGTGTGTGGCAAAACCCATCAGAAAGACAGTATATGGACAATAAAATAATAGCAAACACTGCCTTTTTACTGTAAATACAACATACTTTGTAAAGGAACACTCCAACATATTGGTGTAGACCTTTTATTACTGTCTTACCCAAAGTCATGAAAAGATTTATACAGATATTAAACTAGCCACCAATCCATTTAAGAGTTAATTGGGTTTTGTGTAGATTTAGGGCAGCGTGCAAACCTGGTAACCGCACCATGAGGAAAGGACCTTTAAAATGTTACACACAGTCACTGCATCCAGCTGTTGATCAAGAAAAAAATGTACCACTTAACTGCAACATCACCCGTTTGAATCTGGCAGTGGACCTTTATTGCATGCGATCAGGTACGTAAAGATGCACTGTATATTCCGGGTTTATATTTTTACTTTTGTTTCCAGGTTTAGTGCAAACTTTGGCTTGAAGCACTTTGGAGCTATCTATATCTGTATGTAATGATAATAGTGCTTTACTTTCAATGCACATTATTCGGGATGTCAGTTTCTATTAACTTTGCATTCAATAGCCCAGGCCAACCAACTGGTAACTAACCAGTTAATTTTTATGACAAAAAAAAAAAAATCTGCAGAAACATAGTGCCCACTGCGAACTCCCTGGTCTTCACCATGGACTGTATACAAAGATGGATGACCTGACAGCCTCCCAGAAAAGAAGCCAATCATTTTGATTGGTGGCTGGATGTAGTATAGGTCATAAAGCCCGTCCCCTCCATGTTAGCAGATAGAACATGAGCCAAACTATAAGTACACGTCAAATAAATTTTAGGTAGCTCTTATCGTGCTGATGTTTGTTCAAGTGCTCTTAAAACATCTTCTTGACATGATAACTGACAGCTGTGTGAACCAATCAGTGTGCTCACGATCAATGGTGTTCTGGCGGAAAATCGACACCACCAGAGATTGCTACTGCACAGACTCTGGCTCCAAATTATGTCACAACATGACAGAGGTGCTGATGCTGCAAATGGTTCTAACTGAGCTAACAGTGATAACATAGTTAACAATGCTAAAGGGGGTTTGTGGCTTAAAATCGAGCCGCTTGGGGTAAGCTGGAGGAGAGCTGCTGGTGGGTACAATGTTTCCATAGCAATGCTGTTGGGATATCAGCCATAATCGCCGAATGAGCAGACCCGGTTGGTTGCAAAATTCACATATGGACATGAGTAAACGGTATAAAATATTCTAGGCAGTTACCTAATTAATGGTTAACTTTGACATCCCTTTACATAATTTTTAACCATCACACAACCAACTTTAGATTTGGTCAACAGCTCACCAAATCCCAAGGTGTAAGCTGTACTGCTCAAACAAGCGCAACAAAACAAACAGGTGAATAAGGGAAACGTCAGTTAGGCACAGTCTGTAAATATGTCAACATATACACATCAGTCAAACATAATCATTTTAAAATAAAACCTCTTTGTTCACTTAGCAATTTCAAAATATGAAAATGTTCTTAATAGGAGAGAAAATGCAGCAAGAGCAAAAGGAGCAAGAAATCTAGAGGGGGAGAGAGGGTCAGTGAGAGGGGGGGTGGTTGGAGGATTAGGCCTTCAGGGTAACTAAAAGAGCCCCCCCCCCCGCAGTTATGGCAGGCGTAAGGCCTGGTGAGACACAGATAGACAGAGAGATTTTCATTTTTATGTATCTAAGTAGTGTGTGTGTGTGTGTGTGTGTGTGTGTGTGTGTGTGTATCAAGTCTTGACCTCCTGACCTCGGCCAGCATTTTCAGCTCCCTTCTGTCTCCAGCCACACTCCTAAACAATCAATAACCCCCCCACCCTGCCGCCGTTAGCTGTGACATGCAAATGACCCTCGCATATAATTAAAAGATATGCCCTGACAACAATAGGATAACCTCAGCCTCCCCTCCACTTTTCCTTAAGACGCGCACCAAGACATTTCCTCACACACACACACACACACACAATGTGCACAAACAAAAGCAAAGACAACATCAACTCGTGCCCAGATGGACTCCAGTCAGTTGACCTCTGCTCAGATCTGCAACAGACAAGCACACAGACAAACAGGCAACAATATCAGTGCACTTGAGCTCAACACACACACATGCACACTCACACCCCTCTTTAATCATTCTGCTACAACCCCAAAACTGAAGCTTTCAGCTTGGAGTTATGCTCATGTCCAATAAAATCCACTTATTTAATGTAGTATACTCCAGTTAAGACTCAATTTAAATGATAAAGACTGAGATCAGCACACAAAGGAAAGTCTATTAAATATGTGTTGACATTCTTAAGGCGTGTCTCATGGTGTCTTAACCAGCTGATTAATCAAACATATCTTATCTTGACTCTACAGCTGTTATTTATGAACATCAGTGAATGTTCATTATATTCTGGCCAATAAAAATGAAAAAAAAAAAAAAAAAACAAAAAACAACTATGATACGATACTATTTTTTTTTGACCCAAGGTCTTTAATTGGAATTACAATTAGAGGACAACAAAGCTGTAAACCTAAGATTTGAGACATAAACTTGACTCATACTTAAGTCACAAAACTAACTTAAGACTTGACTTGGACTGCTTGAACCTTTATCCACTGATGAAGCCTGAGGAATGCAGTTAAAAGCCACTGAGAGACAGGTATCAACCATGTCCTCATACCTAAACAAGAGAATATCTTGCTTGCCAACAACAAATGCCAAATTGACATGTATGACCATGGCGACAGGCACATGCACTGATGGTCTTAGGGGGTCCCAGTTTTAAATACCTGGTTAACGCTGTGAAATGGTTGCAGTTTTACTTGTTCAGGTTTAGGCAACAAAACTACTTGGTTATGTCTGAGAAACAAATCCGGAATACGTTTATAAATACGTTTTTTATGCAACTGAAGTTACATACATAAGTACACTCACATTAAGTACATTATGTACACAATGTAAGTTAAGTATGTTAGTAACTTAACTTGCTTATGCAAGTTAAAATAAATTTAAGCTGACTTTCAGTTTTACATGGGACATAAACAGCGGTCTTCTGGGTCTAAGTCCTATGTTTATTTCTCCCATCCATTCACCTTGTCCACCTCACAGTGCAGACTTTGTTGTTATTTGTGCTACATCACCTGACTTCCTCCTCTACTCCT